GGGCTCTGTCCACACCAGAGGCAGGGAGGGAGGAAGCCCCCTTAGCACCCAGAGGTCTCCCCCCTCGGCCTGTGGGACTTGCTTGGTCTGGGAGCCCAGCCCTTTCCCTCCTGGGTGCTCACTCCCCCCACCACGGGGCCCCCTGGCCATGTTGGATCCTGGTTGTTTCCTGTCGAGATCCCCAGTGTCCCCTGAGGATTCTGGGTGCCCCCGGAGACACCAACATCTCAGCCAGGATGACAGGGACTCTGGCCCAGGAGGGAATGATGGGTTTCTAGAGACCTGAGCTCATCTAAGTGCTGCAAAGCATCCCTTGATGGTCTCCTCACTGGGCTCACGGGGGACAGAGGACCGGGTGTGGTTCAGGTGTGGGAACCCCTCCTCCTTCTTCTCTCAAACCACTGTCTGGTCCTGTCCCATGCTTGGTGGAGAATGATTCTCAGAATGTCAAAGGGCAGAAAAGTCTGTCCCTGGCGGGTGGCCGGCCTCTGCCTGTGTTTGGACTTTGGGGACGGACTCCTCCATTCAGAAAGCATGGAGTGTGAGAGGGGGGTTGGCTCCCAGTGCTGTGGGGGTGCAGGCGTGTGCAAGAGGTGAGGAGAGGTGAGGAGAAGTAGCATTAAATTGGCACCTCTCACACCCTTTCCTGTGCATTTTGGCAAAGCTTGATCATGCATAGAATGTATGAGGACAGCTGAGCAGATGCCTGAGTGTCCTGGGGCGGCCGATACTGATGCCACAGACCCGGACCTTTAAATGAAACTTTATTCTGTCACAGTGTTGGAGGCTGGAAGTCTACAATCAAGGTGTCAGCAGGTCCCACTCCTTCCAAAGGTTCCACGGAAGCTGCCTCCCCCATCTCATGGTGTTGCTGGCTAACTCTGTCTGCAGGTCCAGTGAGTCTGTCCTTTTTGGGGGACACTGTGAACCTCAAAAGAAGGAGTGGGGCAAGGGTGCACTGGGCCTGCTGCTCTCCTTCCCCCCGCCTCATCCCACTCTTGGCTCAGGTGCCTGCCCCCATCCCATCTGTACCTCTGCTCTGTGTTGTTTCAGAGCATCTGATTATTTATCATTTATTTAGCTCCTCACCCGAGGACATGCTTATGGATTTTAGGGAGAGTGGAAGGCAGAGGGAGAGACAGAAACATTGATGTGAGAGAGACACATTGATTGTTTGCCTCCTGCATGAACCCTGACCAGGGCCGAGGAACCTGAAACGAAGGTATGTGCCCTTGACTGGAGTCGAACCTGGGACCCTTCAGTCCACAGGCTGTTGCTCTACCCACAGAGCCAAACCATCTAGGGCTCCAGCACCAATACTGAGTGTCTTCTCAGAGAGGAAACACCATGTTTCTTATCTGATAGCTGGTCTGCTGGTCACCACTGGTCCCACTGAAGAGATAAGCCCCGCCTCCTCCCATGCCCCACCCCAAAGGAGGGCGGCTTCCCCTTGCGCCTGTCTGGGCAGGAGGATAAAGGGGCTCAGAGGGTCCAGGACAGAGGCAGACAGACCTGGCATGGTGAGGACGCTGCTCAAAGCCCCATCCTCTCCCTTCCCAGGCTGTCCCTGCCCCACATCTCCTCACTGGCTCTCCTCCCTCCCCTCTCCCCCTGCAGATGCTGTGGCTGCTGGTCCTGACTCTCCCCTGTCTGGGGGGCTCCGTACCTGTGACCTCAGGTGGGTCCTGACCCCCAAGCCTGGCTTTTCTCCAATCCCCTGACTGACCTCTCAGAGGCCGCCCCTGGGATGGGTGGTGGTCCCCCTCTGAGGGTGGCTCTGGGATAGACTGAGGATGGGGCCATGCTGAGTGCCGGGCGGCGGTGTCTGGGTCCCTGATGGCTCCTCCTCTGCTTCCCCAGATCCTGGCCCAGGGACTGAGCTGGTGGGCATCGTGGGAGGACATGATGCTGCCGATGGGAAGTGGCCGTGGCAGGTGGGCCTGTGGGTCAGGAATCAAATAAGTTCTGAGTGGATTCTCAATTGTGGGGGCTCCCTCATCCATCCCCAGTGGGTGCTGACCGCTGCCCACTGCATTCCAGGGTAAGTCTGACTCTGCCAGCACCCGGTGAGGGGGGTGGACAATGTCGGGAGGCATGTGATGTGTGTTGGGGGACAGATGCTGGGCTGAGTGGCTGCAGACCTCCCACCAGGATTCAGCTTCCTGGCGCTCCCCTTGCCCACCACAGAGGGAGGTCTCTGGGCCCTGAGGGGCTGGCCCACTTCCTGCCACAGCCTCTCAGAAGTCTTTGGCCTTCTGTCCCCAGGAGAAACCCAGTGACTCGGCACATTAAGGTCCAACTAGGACGAGTTAGACCCTCAGACAGTGACAGTGTGCAGGTGGCCAGGATCATCCGCCACCCCAAGTACAGCCTTGGGCAGGGACCAGAAGGTGGGGCGGACGTGGCACTTCTCAAACTGGAGGCCCCCGTGCAACCATCTAACCTCGTTGGGTTGATCAGCCTCCCGCCAGCCTCCTCCTCATTCCCCCCAGGCACACGGTGCTGGGTGACTGGCTGGGGCCACATTGCTTCTGGAGGTGAGAACCAGGTGACACGTGGGAGTGGGAGGAGGAGACTGAGGGCGATGCAGGGGGCGGGCCAGGCTTTACAGAGGAGGCTCAGCTGGGGTCTGAGCTGGGGTCCCTCCGGGGTCTCCCTTGGGTGTAGGAGGGAGACAGCTCGAGAGGAGTCTGTTAAGGAGCAGAGACCAAAGTAGCAAGAGTGAGGCCTGGCCATGGGCATTTTTAAAAAAAAAAAATCACCCAGGGATATTTTTTCCAATGATTTTTAGAGAGAGTGGAAGGGAGAGCGATAGGAAACATCGATGTGAGAAGCATATCGATTAGTTGCCATTCCAGCCTGGGCTGGGGATTGAACCTGCAACCCAGGTACTTGCCCTTGACCAACAATCAAACCTGGGACCCTTCGGGTCAGTGCTCTAACCAGTGACAAACACTGGCCAGGGTGCCATGGGCATTTCTCTCCCTCACTCTGCACCAGTCTGTGTCTTCCCTATCGGGAGTCCCCGTTCTCCCTGAGTCTCGATAGTGTGGTGGAGAACGAGGAGAGAGAACTTCAGTGACGAGCTCCAGGATTCACTATTAAATGGACAAAGTCAAATTTGACAGTAGGACCGCTCACTCTGCATTTCTTGGGGGAAAGAACTTGCTCTGGTTTTTCCCAATAAAAATTATTTGTGGATAAAAATATATTTCTGTTTCTTTTTGGAGCTTGGTGCCCACAGTGTCAGCCTAGAGATTATCAGCCCATTGGCCTCGAGTGAACGCAGGCAGTTGGGGTCTTGGGTGACTCCCTGGGTCCCCCTGGGGGCACTGAGGCTCAGCGTGTGGTTCTAGAACCCGCGGCCTGTGACTGTCCGCCCCCTCAGGACCACAGGCTCACTGGGCTTCTTCTCACAGTGCCGCTGCAGCCGCCTGAAAATCTGCAGGAGGTGGAGGTCCCCATGGTGGCGAATGAGATCTGTAGGCAGCAATACCTCAGGATCAACAAGTTTATCCAGGACGACATGCTGTGTGCTGGGAGCGAAGGCCGAGACTCCTGCCAGGTGAGACCCCCAGACTGTGTCCTCCGTCCGTTGCTCCTGCCTGCAGGGGCCCTGAGTACTGACCACCTGTCTCCTCTTCCCACAGGGTGACTCTGGGGGCCCCTTGGTCTGTAAATGGAAGGGTACCTGGGTCCAGGTAGGCGTGGTGAGTTTTGGGCACAAGTGCGGACTTCCCAACTTTCCTGGAGTCTACGCCCGAGTGACATCCTTCTTGCCTTGGATCCGCCGTCTTATTCGTTCCTCTCCTTGAGCCCGGGGCCGGGCAAGGATGCTGCCCATGAGATGAAGACAGGCCCTCCAGGGTGTCTGGGGGACCCTCCCTGCTCCCTCCCAGTGCCAGCTCTTCATTGCACCTAGCGCCCTCCTCCACCCCGACCTGCTCTGAGATCCTCCTGCCTCAGCACCTCCATCAGCCTCTCTCCCCTGACAGGCAAAAGGGAGAGAGAGGTGGAGTGTGCTCTGAAGTCAGGCAGGCACTGCAGGACTCCTGCCTCCTCCCCACCCCCTGTAGCTCATTAAACTGCATGAAAAACTGCTCTGGACTCAGTGCACTTACCTGTGGGCGTGGCCAAGGCGGCCAGTGGGTGGTCCGTGCTGCTGGGGGAGCCCAGGCTCTGGGAGGGGGACCAGGTGGGATGGGCAGCTATGGCTGCAGCAAGGAAGAGGGCGACCTGGCGGCTCTCCTGGCTGGGTGGAGGTCAGTCTGCTGCCCGGGGCTGGAGGCCACAGCACGGAGGGCCGCCCCAGAGGGTGCAGACCGTCCCTGTTCCTCCTTCAGTGGCAGTCAGTGTGTCATGGAGGCTTTAATGACTTGGACGTGGCCGCATGCAAACAGGAGGTGCTGTGTTTCCATGGTCACCGCTGCTCCCTCTGACCCCGCGGCGCCGAACCCCCATTTTCCAATGTGATCAACTCCTGGGACCAAATGAAGTGCAGCCTCATTTCCACACAGACCCTCAGTCTCCCACTCTTAGCTTCTCCCAAGCAGGGCAGACCTGCAGGGGCCCAGGACCTGCCAGTCCTTCTCTTCCCCGTCCCCACCCTCCTGCTTCCCCAGCTCCCGGGTCCTGGTTGGTTGGAGGCAGCAGAGAGGAGGGAAGAGATGGGACCCCCGCCCCCCCCCCAACTCCCCAGGCTGCTGTCCTGGCGTTGGCACCCCTTCTGGAGATACACTGCTGTGCATGGTCCCCTCAGGCTCTGCAGAGCCCCTCCTTTCTCCAGGGGGTGGGAGGGGCTCCCAGTGGAAAGAGGAGCTTCAGTTTCAAATCCAGGGAGTGAGAAGGGGCTGTGGAGCCCCCCCTGCCCCAGGCACTTCCTGCAGGACTAGGACTTGGGGGGCATGGATGGTGCCGACTGGGGTTGGTCCCGCACCTGCAGGTTGGGGCCAGGACCCAAGAGGGCCTGTGGAGCCTGAGGTGGCCTGTACTGTGGGTGACGGGGCTCCATACCCTGCAGCTACAGGCTGGTCCCCAGTCTGATTCTACAATGGGGTGGTGGCCTTCCAGACAGCCTTCCAGACCTTTTCGTGCCAGGACCCCTGCCCCCCGAGACCAGGGTGGAACAGCCCTCCTCTCTCACTGTGACCCGGTCCTTAGGGGAGGCCCTGACTCCGAGTTAGGGAGAGTGGAAGCTCCAGGGCGGGCGGATCAGGAGCTGTGTCCCCCATGTGCCCGGGACTGAAGTCTGGGTTCCTGGCAGCCAGGAGCTCTCCAGGAAAGCCTTTTCCTGGGAAAATGAGGCCCAAGACTCAGCTGGAAGGCACCACCATGCAGATGGCCCCCCTTGGGGATCTGCTCCGCCCAGGGAGGGAGGAGGGGGTCACACAGCACAGCCTGGCCCTGATCCCTCGCCCTCCGGGTCCAGGCACACATTTTGCCTAAGTGACTGCCTGTCCACGATGCCCTGGGGGTGGGCGGCTGCCAGGTGGTGCACACACATCCAGGTCCCCTGTGCCCCCCAGGAGGGTGTGGGCTGCCTGCCTTGCCATTGGGCTCTGGGGACTGTGAGTCTTTGTAGGGCTTTCCTCCCTGGGTGAGGGTGTAATCAGACCTTTAGTGTTTCCAGGGTTAAGAATGAGGGTCTGAGTCACTCAGAGGCCAGGGCTCCCAGGGGAGTGAGAAGGACCTAGAACTTGTTGTTGGAGGGAAGGCTGGAGTGAGACTCACCTGGGCCTGGGGCTGTGTCTGCAGGCATGGCCACGGGGTGGACCCGCAGGGCTCTCTCCAGGGGATGGGCTCAGGGCTGTCCCCCCTCCCCCAACCTCACCTGTCTGGAATCACAGCCAGAGCACCTGGCTTCCTGGCTCAGCTGTAAGACAATGTGGGCGGAGCCAGATGCCTGGGTGGAGATTGAGGAGCAGGGCATGTTGCCTCTTTTCTCTGAAATCAGTTCTGATTGAGTCCTGGGCCTGTAGTGGTGGGTGACACTGAGCCAGCAGGGCTGTGTCCCCAAAATAAACTCCTGCAGGGCGTGGTCAGTGCCCATGGGCACCCTGGGGAGGGCCCACAGGCATTGGCCTCTTCCCCTTGTCTGAGGTGAGAGAGACACCTTCAGGGTTTGGAATGGAGACTCCACGCAGGGCCATGCCCTTCCAGGTGGAAATCACACCTCAGTCACCACCAGGCTCTCCCCCTGTGTGGTGTCCTGGGGTCACAGTGACAGCCCCCGACTGGGGAGTGTGTGCTTAAAACAACACAAATGCATCCTCTTACCGGCTGGAGGCCAGGAGCCCCCAATCAAGTTGTTCTGGGGCCACAGCTACTCCCAGGCTCCTGCCTCCTGCAGCTGCTGGTGGTGCTGGGACCCTTGGTTGGGGAGGATCCTCTGGACCTCCAGCCCGTCCTCCCCACCCCTCTGTGCTCTCCGCATCCTCACCTCTTCCTACAAGGAACCATTATTGGATTTAGGGCCTCCCCACTCCACTCTGACCCCATCTGAACTGGTTGCATCTGCACTTGTTTCTAAAGCAGGGCAGGTTCTGAGGGACCGCACTGGTCCACACTGACTCCCTCACTGGTGAGGTTACAGGCCACCAGGCTGTGTGCTCCTGAGAGGGGGAGCGCACCCCTGAGGAGGCAGGGGCCTGGCCACAGGAAATCTTTAGGATTCCCACGGCCCAGCACCCAGGGCCCCCATCAAAACATCAGGCCAGTGAGGGCCTCTGTCCCTCTCAGGGAAGCAGCGTGCTCCCCACCTCACAGTGCCCTCCAGCCCGTGACGCTGGCCACACAACAGGCTGCCGGCTCTGAGTGGTCCCGGAGCTGGACAGGACTCTGCTGCAGGTCCAGCTGCACTGGCCTCACAGGACGTAGCAGACACGATGGTGATAAAAGTATTGGTGATGGGCAAGCCCCGCGGGGGGGCAGGACAACACAGGCCATGCAGCCTGCACTGAAGACTATTCCTGAGATGTGGGTACATTGAGCTCCTTGTGTCTGGAAGCCAGGGATCAAGACGTGCCACCATCTTGGTGGGACAATGACACTGAGCACCAGGCACAGGCAGGGCTGCTGTGTCACAGTGGGGGGCAGGGAAGGTGAGGGCCCTTGGGTGTCCCTTGCCTCCCCCTCGTCAATGTGATGGCAGGTGGACACGTGCAGCCACCCGACCTGAGAAGTCCCTGTGACCAGAGCTCAGCCCCTCAGGGATGGGGGTCTGGGTCGTGCTACCAGGTAAGTCCCAGAGTCCCAGTTAGCAGCAAAGGGTGGGATCCAGGTGGACAGTGGAGGGGCCCTGTCGGCCTCAGTTGTACCCTGAGCTTCTGCTTCCCAGTTTCCTGGGCAGGGACTCCTCTGTGGTCCTGCGGCCCCCTCCTCAGCACACGAGGCAGAAGGTGGTGGATGCTGCCGGACACAGATATGGGCCAGGTCCCCCTTCAGGACAGGACCTGATGGGAGGCCTGGCAGTTCCTCTGGCTGTCTCGCCCCGGCAGGTCCCTCTTGGCTAGCGCAGGGAGAGGCAGGGCTGGCACTGTGTCCCAGTGGGGCCGTGGCCTGGGTCTCCCTGTGGGCTGGTCAAGGTGTCATCAGCCTGCATTGTGCTCCAGCCTCGCCTTCTGCCCCAGCTTTGCTCCATCCACCTGCCTCCCAGGTGCCTCTCCCTGACTTGTACCCACAAGAAATCCAGGCTGCACTGCACAGCCAGGTGGCCCCTGCCTGCCCTTCCTGTGCCAGGGGATGAAGGGGTGCAGAGAGGGTTTTCCATGCAGCTTCTGGAGAGCACTCTGCAGGGGGCATGTGCAGGACCTCAGCAGGCCACGTGCCAGGCAGATGGCATGCTCTAGTCAGATGGTGACGAGCTCCACGCTGCCTCACAGGGTCCAGTGGATTCAGGGGCTGCCCTGTGGCTCGAGGGGCCCAGCATCAGCTCTGGGGCCCTGCCTGCCTGGGCCCAGCTGCCTGGGCCCAGCGCTCTGGGGCTTCTTCCAGCAAAACTGCACCCTCTTGGCAGCTCTCCTTGCTCAGGCCGCTGGTCTGGCTGTGCTTTGTGGCTGAGATCCGTGCAGCCAGAGATGGCTGCTGCCCAGTGACAGCAGGTGGCAGGTCCGGGGGAGGCAGTGCCAGGGCCCAGCAGCTCCTCGCTGCCTGCTGACTGACCCCCGACCTGGGTGGGCCTGAGAGAGGAGCAGCTCCCTCTGCCCATGGCCCAGCCAGGGGCCCCTGCCTGCCCTTAATGTGCCAGGGGATGAAGGGGTGCAGAAAGGGTCCCAAGGAGGGTCCCTCCAGGTGAGGATGCTGCTGCTCAGACCCTGGCTTCTCCATCCCCACACGGGGACCCCGGCCCCTTGTGGTCTCACCCAGGCCCCTGCCATCCCCGCAGATGCTGTGGCTGCTGTTTATGAGTCTCCCAGGCAATTGAGTGGCCTTAGCATATCATTAGCATATTATACTTTGATTGGTTGAACAGATCACCAGATGACCAAACACTTATCACATTAGGTTTTTATTATCCTATATAATAAAAGGCTAATATACAAATGGACCAAACAATGGAACAACTGATTGCTATGACACGCACTGACCACCAGGGGACAGATGCTCCACGCAGGAGCTTTCCCTGGTGGTCAGTGTGGTCCCACAGGGGGAATGTTGCTCAGCCAAAAGCTTGGCTCACATCTGGCGAGGCGAGCACAGTGGTGGTGGTGGAATCCTCTCCCACTTTTGTGGCAGGCGGGTGGTGAGGAGTGAGAAGTATGGACTTGGAGAGGGCACAGGCTGGGCTGAGGGACAACCCCCCCACCCCCCATCCCTG